CATCAGACACTAAACACCTAATGTTGGGATTCATATTTTCTTGGCAAAACATCCCGGGGACAGCATCTCTACAGCAAGGCAAAGTATTTATTTATTTATTTATTCATATTACCCCTAAAGGCCCTCGTGAGAGGGTATTACATAGGGGGGGTACATAAATCGTTCCAATAGGAACTAGTGCACATTGAACAACATATGAGAATACTAGAAAACAATCAATACACTTAATAATAAAAAGAAAATAAAGGATACACTCAAAAACGAATAAAAAAAAAAAAAAAAAAAAAAAAAACATACACTCACTCATCACAATGCAATAAAGCTGAGTCAAGGTAAAAACAAAATAGTACACATTTGCTCTGCACGTTCCGGAAAAGATGAAACAACAATGTAAAACAGCAAAAGTTAGATGGCATCCGTATTTTGAATTTGTTCTTGAAACTTCGTGGTGTCTTTTTCTGAGGCAATGTGCGATGGTAGATTATTCCAATCGATTGTGGTACGTGGAATGAATGACCGGGAAAAGGCAGATGACTTACAGGTTATGCGTTTAACTTTGTAGGGGTGATCGCGGCGTGGAAAAATAACGGCAGGTGGCTCGAAGAAATCACCGTGAAGTGACGCGTGGTGGTAAAGTTTATGGAACAGAGATAGGCGTGAAAGTTTGCGACGATGGAGTAGTTCGGGTAGCTCTGCTCGGCGTTTTAGTGCTGTGACGCTGGAATGACGTGAATAATCTGAAAATATGAAGCGAGCGGCACGATTTTGCAGTGATTCAATGTCGTTTATGATGTAAGCATGTTCGGGATCCCAAATGGCTGATGCATATTCTAATTTTGGACGTATTAGTGTGGAAAAGGCAAGTTTGCGTATGTTAGGAGGAGCCTGTTTAAGGTTACGCTTGAGAAATCCGAAAGAGCGGTTAGCAGCCGCCAGGGTGAGCTTTATATGGTAGTGCCATGACAGATCAGGTTGCAAATGAATTCCAAGATATTTATAAGTGGAGACGAGGTCAACAGTATTATTATTTAACACATAGGAGGTAGGAATCCGGGGTACGTGATTAGTAAAAGACATAAACTTTGTTTTAGAGCAATTTAGGGTCATTAGCCAGGAAGAGCACCATGCATTAATAGCATTTAGATCAGTTTGCAAAGCTTCCTGGTCATTGACAGAGGAAATTATTCGGTAAATTACACAATCGTCAGCAAAAATTCTAATTCGGGATGAGACACAGGATGGCAAGTCATTAATGTAGACTAGAAATAGTAGTGGACCTAGTACGCTACCCTGTGGGACTCCCGAGGTTACTGGTTTGAAGGAAGAGTTACAATTGTTAGCGGACGTGAACTGTTTTCTAGACGAAAGGAAATCTTTTACCCATGCCAAAATGTTAGGGTGAATCTTAAGCCTGGACAGTTTGGTTAGAAGCCGGTGATGAGGGACACGGTCAAAAGCTTTAGAAAAGTCGAGGAAAACAGCATCAACCTGGGATCCACCGTCAAGAGCTGAATGTATGTCATGAATGAAGCCGGCGAGCTGCGTGTCACATGAGTATCCTCGGCGAAAACCATGCTGATATTTATGTATGATGTTATGATCTTCCAGGTAGTTAATTACTTGTGTGTGTATTATATGTTCAAGAAGTTTACAAATGGTACTGGTTAACGAGATGGGACGATAGTTTAATGGCGATGAGCGTTCACCAGACTTGAAGATGGGAGTATCGCCCTTTCAGAATCACCTCTTGAGTGGAACGAAGATGCAGCGTCTGCTTTTTCTTCAGTGAAAAAGGCGCTCGCTGACGCTGCAATGCTCATTCACCCCGTTCCAAACGCAGAGCTACGACTCGCTACCGACGCATCAAGCGTAGCGGTCGGTGCGGTTCTTCAGCAGAATGTCAATGGCTGGCAGCCTCTCGGATTTTTCTCCCACAAACTCAAGAACCCAGAACAAAAATACAGTACTTTCGCACGCGAACTTCTGGCTGTGCACCTTTCCATCAAACACTTTCGCCATTTCCTCGAGGGCCGGAACTATCATGTTGTGACAGATCATAAGCCCTTGACGTTCGCATTCCAACAAAACCACAGCGACCACACAGCACGTGACATCCGGCACCTCTGCTTTATATAAAAGTTTACCGTCGATATCCGCCATGTCAAAGGCCATGAAAACACTGCTGCGGAAACACTCTCCCGCGTCAGTGCTATTTCTTTAGCAGATCGGGTGGACTGGGAGGGGCTGGCAAACCGCTCAATCAAACGATCCCAAGCTGCAACGTTTGCGTGCCGCTCCTGGATCACTGGTTTGCTGACGTTCTTCTGCCCTTTTCTCCAACAACAGTTACCTGCGATACGACAAATGGTGTGTCCCGACCATTCGTACCACCAGCATTTCGTCGCGCTCTTTTCAACAACCTGCACAACAAGAGCCACCCAGGAATCTGTGCTTCACAGAAATTAATAACTGCCCGTTTTTTCTGGTCCAGCATGAACGCGGATGTCCGTTGCTGGGCACGAACGTGCGTGCAGTGTCAACGCGTCAAGATCATGCGACACACAATCACCCCCATCTCACCCTTCCGACCACCGGACTCCAGGTTTTCGCACGTCCATATAGACCTAGTGGGACCCCTTCCATCATCACGGGGAGCCCGCTATTTGCTGACGTGTGTAGACAGGTTTACCGGATGGCCCGAGGCATTCCCCGTCCCTGACATGACAGCAAAGACAGTCGCTACAGCCTTCATCGACGGCTGGGTGTCCCGTTTCGGCTGCCCTGCTGTAGTCACCACCGACAGGGGACGGCAATTTCAATCCTCCCTTTTTGCCGCCTTCGTCACCGTCCTGGGTGTCCAAAACATTCGCACCACCTCCTATCATCCCTCGGCCAACGGCATGTTGGAACGGCTGCACCGCCAGTTGAAGGCAGCTCTCGCCACCTATGAGCCGCGGGAACGTTGTGCCGACCACCTTCCCCTCGTACTCCTCGGCCTTCGCTCAGCGCTCAAGGCAGATCTTGGCTGTTCTACAGCCGAGTTAGCCTGCGGCACACCACTGCGCCTACCCGACTAATTCTTCTCTTCGTTTCCTTCCGAGTCAAGAGAAGACCCCACCGGCTACGTCGACGACTTACGAAAAGCCTTTCGTCTTCACCGGCCTGTGCTTCCAGCTCATCGGAGCCATCGAGACGTATTCGTGAGCCAAGACCTTGGGACATGCTCGCATGTTTTCTTACGTCGCGACCAGGTTCGTCGACCATTGGAACCGGCCTACGACGGCCCGTTCAGAGTGCTGGATCGGCAAGCCAAGACCTTTACACTAGACATAAACGGCCGTCGTACGTAGTCACGACCGACCGTGTCAAGCCGGCCTACCTAGAAGCCACATCTCCTGCATCCCCTGCAACCGCTCCTGCCCCGTCAGCACCTTCGGCGCTTGCAACAAGAACCAAGCACACCACATGGACCATTTCAGGGCCCACGGCTCCACAGAACGGGGAGCATTGCAACGACACTCAAAGCCAGCCTACGCCATAAACGACGACGACGAGGTTCAGCTGCCCCTGCAGCGCAAGCAAATAAAGCAGTTCGAATCCAAACGCTGTCCGAGCTGGTTCGTTTTAAAACGATATTTTTTCCATTTTAGAAAAAATATCGTTCCAAAACGGATATTTTTTTCCATTTCGGAACGATATTTTTTCAGTAACGTACCTTAACCGGAACGAAACCGTTATTTGAAAATTATAAAAACCGTAACCGTAACTGTAAAATGTTTACCTGTAGCCGGTTTGAACCGATATTAACGGAAAAATAAAACTAGTAGCTTTTCTCAAGTATAACCTGGAGGAGAGATCTTGATAAGTTCTGGCTATATGACAGAGTTACCGTCAGCGAGTGTGGCATCTGGTAGTATATTTCAGTTCAATCTAACTTTGGGATTAATAATAAGTACTAGTTGAGCTCAGTGGTGGTGGCCTCACGAGGGTCAGCGGCACCCGGGGCGGTGGCCCGACGCGAAGCCCCTCTGAGCGCTGCACCCTGAGAGGTCCCTGAGAGTCTGAAACGTGTCGGGAACTACAAGAGAGAGAAAAAAAGCCATATATATATATATATATATATATATATATATATTGTAACGATTACCGCTTACAAGCTGTTCATTTAATGGACATCCGGTTGCTTTGCTCGTAGGCTTCCAACTCTCGCGAGCACTCCGTGTTCTTCTGTTCGTTGTCTTCTTTTCCGCGACATCAGCTTCGCTACATTATCCCCCTCCCGTCTTCTGGAATTTTATCCAAGTTTAACGAAGTCCTTCATACAACGAGAGTCGATCACGGTGAACCACGAGAGCCCGGGATCGATCCTTTTGACGTATGCGATAGACCACGTCACTGAGCCGTTTCACGATTGTAAAAAGTCCTTGCCAGTGACGCTGCAGCTTTGGGGACAGTCCTCGTTTCCGAACCGGGTTATACAACCATACCATGTCGCCTGGTGAAAAAGGGCGTGATGCGACGTGTGCGTCATACTGGCTCTTCATGCGAGCGAGGCCGCTTGACAGCCGTTGTCGAGCAAATGCGTGCATTCGCTCGAGATTTGTTCTCAGTTTGCTCACGAAAGACACAGGGTCTGTGGCCGGTTCTGATGCTCGTGGGATGGTTAGTTCACAGGGCATACGAAGGTCATGGCCGAGCAGCATCATCGCTGGCGTGTAACCGGTCACCTCGTGAGCTGCTGTACGGTATGCGTACAAAAATAGGTGCACGATGGTGTCCCAGTCATCTTGACGATCATTTACAAATATCGACAGATGTTGTAAAATGGTTCGGTTCATTTTTTCTACCAAGCCGTTTGACTGCGGGTGGAAAGGTGTGGTCCTCGTTTTGGCGATGTTGAATATCTTGCAAACTTCTTTAAATACGTGAGATTCAAAGCTCCTGCCTTGATCCGAGTGAATGCTCAGGGGCGCCCCGTACCTGGTGATCCAATTCCTCACCAGGGCGTCAGCAATTTCAGGGGCGGTCTGGTTTGGAATTGGAATAACCTCCGGCCACTTTGTAAAGTAGTCAACAATGACTAGCAAAAACCTGTTACCAGATTTAGATCGGGGAAGTGGGCCTAGCACGTCAATGCCAACGTGCTCAAAAGGCGCCCCCGTCACATGCTCTTGAAGCGGTGCTCGCTGTTTGGCGTGAGGTCCTTTACGGGAGGCGCACATGTCGCACTGTCGACACCACTGCTTCACGTCACTGTGGCACTGCAGCCAGTAGAAACGTTGGCGAATCTTCTTTATCGTGCGATTCACGCCGAAGTGTCCTCCTTCTGGACTGCTGTGCAGTTGTTGAAATGCGTGGGAGCAGAGTGTGTGTGGCAGAACCAGTTGCCAGACGACAGAGCCACCCGCAGCGGACTCCCAGCGTCGATAGAGAACATTGTCGCGAAGGTACAAAGAGTCCCATTGCACCAAGTAGCCCTTAAGGGCAGGAGATAAGCTGGATACCTCCTTGCCTTGAGGTCGTCTATTCTTCGTTTTCCATTGTATGAGCAGGCCGATGTCTGGATCGTCAAGTTGAGCTGCCCGAAGACTTTCCGGTGTCCACATTTCGTTGCCACAAGGAATTGTTTTGAGTGAGATGCAGCTGCGTTTTTCAATGCTTGTGCACTGCTTGCACGACTTCTCACCGCATGGTCGACGCGAAAGGCCGTCGGCATTGGTGTGGAGTGAGCCGGGGCGATGCTGTATGTCGAAGTTGTATTGGTGAAGGCGTTCCAGCCATCGGACGACCTGTCCATCAGGGGTTTTAAAACTCAACATCCAAGTCAATGATGCGTGGTCGGTTCGGATAATGAATTTCCGTCCCAGAAGATAATGATGGAAATGGGTTATGGCCTTGATGATGGCCAAAAGTTCGCGTCGGGTGGTGCAGTAGTTGCGTTCTGGGTTCGTAAAAACCTTACTATAATACGCAATGACTCGCTCATGTCCATCTTGTTCTTGCGATAGTACAGCACCGGCTGCCGAGGCGCTAGCGTCGGTGTCAAGGATGAATGGTGTTGTGTCTTTTGGGAAGGCAAGAGTTGGTGGAGATGTGAGGGCCGTTTTGAGTGTCTCGAAGGCCAGTTGGCATTCTGGGGACCACACAAACGGAGCATTCTTTTCTGTCAGGATATACAAGGGCTTGGTGATGTGGGCGAAACTAGGGACGAATCTTCGGTTGTAGGATGCCAGCCCAATGAAGCTTTGAACGTCAGCGGTGGATCTTGGGGTTGGCCACTCGGCAATAGCAGAGAGTTTCCGAGGGTCTGTGGAAACTCCGTCCGTCGAAATGATGTGCCCGAGGTACTCAACCTGCTTTGTGCACAGCGAACATTTCTTGGGAGTAAGCTTTAGGTTTGCCTTTTGAAGTCGTGCAAGCACAAGCTCGAGATTCGCCAGGGGATCGGAAAATGTCTTGCCCAATACAACAATGTCGTCGAGGTATACAAGACAAACTCTGCCTATGAGACCATGCAGCACAGATTCCATTAGTCTCTGGAATGTAGCCGGGGCGTTGCAGAGCCCGAATGGCATCACTCGGAATTGAAATGAGCCATGACCTGTAGTGAAGGCAGTCTTTTCTCGGTCATCCGGGTGTACGGGAACCTGCCAATATCCACTCTTAAGGTCAAGCGTAGAAAACCACTCGCTGCCTGCGAGAGCGTCCAAGATATCGTCAGTTCGAGGCAAAGGAAAGGAGTCCTTTTTGGTGACATCATTAAGTCGTCGATAATCCACGCAAAAACGTGCTGACCCGTCCTTTTTCTTCACCAGTGTGACTGGTGAAGACCAAGGGGAACACGCGGGTTCAATCACGCCCTGCTGTAGCATGGTCTTTATCATGTCGTTAACAGATGACTGCAGTGCAAGGGGAACTCGTCGAGGAGACTGTCGTACAGGGGTAGCCTGTCCCGTCACGATGTGGTGTGTTGCTGCTGATGACAAGCCCATATCACTGTCTCCCGTGCTGAAAAGCTTTGTAAATCTTTTAAGTAGCTGATGAAGCTTACCCGCGCAGGTTTTATCGAGGCCAACAGGCGCGCCCTCGTAGAGAGGTAACACGTGTGGGTCCAGCTTGGTTGGTAATACGTGGGGACACGGACACGGGAACTCGGGATTTATTGGGAGTCCACTGTCGCAAAGAACCGTCACTGTGGCAGCACTCAGGGGAAACGAGTCAGTTCCCAAGTGCAGCAATCCGGCATTGTAACGATTACCGCTTACAAGCTGTTCATTTAATGGACGTCCGGTTGCTTTGCTCGTAGGCTTCCAACTCTCGCGAGCACTCCGTGTTCTTCTGTTTGTTGTCTTCTTTTCCGCGACATCAGCTTCGCTACAATATATATATATATATATATATATATATATATTTATATATAACTTTGAGCGGCGGAAGGAAAGAAAACGCCCGAAGGGTTTCCGAGCTCTTTCTATCAATTTCGTTCCAAGACCCTTTTTCAAACCGAGTGGCAGCCGCCGGCATTGCCACGCATCTCACCATGACAAGAGAAAAAGCCAAGGAGAAGGATGTCTCAATGTTGAACATGCCAAAGCACTTGGCCGCCGATGACGGAGCCGCCCTCGTCCAGCAGACAGAGGACGCCACCTCTGCCTCCTTCGTCTCAACCTTGGGAGCTGCGCTGCTTCCAATAGTCGATCCCAAGGTCGGTTTCGCCCCACACGGTCAGCAGCCTCAACAGTCCCTGTCGCAGAACTCTCAACGCGAGCTTTTCAAATGTCAGCACGGTGAGCTCGAACATCCACAGACGCGCCAAGAGATTGCTTCTAGCATCGCCGGAGCCCTTCCCCTGCTTCCACCAGTGGTATGGCTTCTAAGCGAATCATTTCTACCAGAGCCACCAACGCGATCCGACTACCCCCCCCCCCCCCCCCCTCCTCCCGCAGCCATTTCCAAAGCGAGGGTCTGTTACGCCAGGACATTCTGCACGACCTCGCCCAGAACACCAGAAGTTTGTCCACGAGAGATGCCCGCGAAATCCGGCATCTCCACCCGCATCGGTTCTACTGAGATGCCATGCTAACCCAACACCAGTATCTCATTTTCGATAGATTGGAACTCTTCCACGTCGCCGCGGGAGGGAACTGGAGGACGGCTATTCTATCCCAGACGTACAGGCTCTACTCCGAGGTTTTCAGAGAGCTCCCCAACCAGCTACCAAACCAGCCTCGATGCGGACGCCGCACGTCTCGCGCTCCCGCGAACACCAGCTACCGCCCAGGCACCAAGTCCAAGAGGCCCCCCTGTCCTTAAGTGAAGCCGGCAGCTATCCTGGGTCTTCGAGACCCACCAGTGCCGTCATCGACGGCACTGTCGTTTCCTCAACACTCCTGGACGTTTTCCCGGTCGAGGACGTTTTCGCCCACGCATTTTGCGATGCTGACCTCGCCTGCACTTGATCTTAGACCGAAGAAAACGACCCATGGGATCCGGTCTCGACGGCCACCGCCGCCGAGCGAATCCTGGAGTGGCTCAGTAGGACAGACAGTGTCATTGAGCCCCACGCCGATGACGACTCCTTCGAATCGTACAGTGGCGCGGAAGAAAACCACACCAACACAAATGAACACACTACAGACAAACAAAGCGGCGTCAAAGACTACGATTTGAACCTGAGTAGCACTGCCTATACTAGTCGAAAGCGACCGGACCTCCGCCGCCAGTCCACCCGACCCAGCAGGCACCTCAAGTCGACTGGTCAGTGTTTACAGTGAGGCACACAGTGTTTACGGGCCGCCCGACTTCGGCGCACTTTCCAGTCGCTGCACGAATGCTTCTTGCTTTACGACCCGCCCACCTCTCCCTGACCAGGGGTGCTATGTTGCGCTTTTTGGACTCCCAGGAGACTAGGAAGAGGGAAGTGACGTCAACGACGCAGCAAACGCAGATTGGGTGTTGATTTCGTTTTCTTCTGTCAACATCCAATCTGCGTTTGCTGTGTCGTTGACGTCACTTCCCTCTTCCTAGTCTCCTGGGAGTCCAAAAAGCGCAACATAGCACCCCAGGGGGCCTATGTTGCGCTTTTTGAACTTCCACGGCGATTACGGATAAGAAAATGACGTCAACAGGGCAGCAAACGCATATTGGATGTTGATTGGTGAGAACCAATCAACATCCAATTTGCGTTTCCTGCGTTATTGACGTTACTTCTTTCTCCGTAGTCGCCACGGGAGTCCAAAAAGCGCAACATAGGGCCCCAGGTTCCCACGATTGATGCCGCCATAACCAACATGTTGGCGGCATCATCGAACGCACGTGGTCTGTACTTCAACCCCGTCTTCCTCGTATTCAAGTCAGTCACAAAGTCCCGCTTTGTTTTAGACTGCGCCGCACTACTCCTTACCTCCAGCTACCCCAGTTCCGCCTTAATCCGCTACCACAGGCCATAAAACTAAACCCCCTTCCGCCCCCAGCGTATATGGTGAAGCTCGACATTGCCGAGGCTTTTTACCATATCACCGCTTCATCCCTCCTCCCGTAACCTGACCTCATGTAGAGGAGGCCGCCGCTACTGCCGTTTTCGCCGTATGACCTTCGTGATACACCGGGTGCCGTTTTACATGCAGCTCTCGGCAGCAACCATTGCCAAGGAAATGCGCGCGCGTGCACTTTGGGCTTGGTCTCAGATCGACAGCTAGTTGTGCATTCGCGTCCCGACCCAGAGAAGTTGGCATCTGAGGTGCGCCTCCTCGTGGAGTACTTGCTGCGGTCGGAATTTCGCTTAAACCTAAGCGACACGAGCAGTGCCCAAGCGACGCATGGGTTTGCTTGGGTTCAGGTTCGACCCAGCCGATGACACCATTTCGCACACGCCAGAACGGCTCCGAGCATTTCCCCGTGTCTTTCGCTCGCTGGCGCGCCCGCTTCCCGTCAAGGAGGCGGAGGGCAACTTAACATTTTACTTCTCTCTCAATGGCTCTGGGTTTTTTCTTCTTCATCCGCTGTTTGACAAAGTTTCAGACCAAATCCCTCTTTCTCTTCCGAACCACAAGAAGCCACCCGGAGTGAGAACTACGACACCCAACTCCAGGCCGTCCAGCAGGCCACGGCGCTCCTTGAGAGGCAACGCCCCTCGAGGCAGTCGTAAGCGACGTGTGGCCGCGTCCTAGGTCCCTTGGGAAGCTGCAGGCACCAAAAAAGTTATCCTCTCTCTCTCTCTCTTTCTCTTTCGCTCAACTGGTTTCCGTTTCTTTTGCGTGTTTGGCCGACTTTGCCGCACTGCCAACCGCTCCCCCTTTTGCCCGCTACCCAAAAGCGCATGAGCAGATGCCTTCGGAGTCGGTTACAGCGTAGATGTTGGGAACTGTGAGCAGGCAATCATCGCTCTTGTGCCGAGGCCAGCATACCTCCGGGAAGGACTCGCCGTGTTGTGGTGCGCTTGTATCGCCGACAAAGGGACTCCTCCACACATGAAGAACAGAGTTTTGACCCTCGCGCTGCGCCGCGGCGATGGATGAGCTTTGTGGCGACGTGCGCGATCGAAAGCGTCGCTGTGATTGGCCTTCCACGATTGGCCCAGTGGTTACTATGACGTGAGCAAAGGATT